TGGACATCCAAGCGTCACTTGGCCACCGCCGCCAGCCACCAGCGTCACCAAGCCGTTCGCTACCGCCGCCTGGCCCGGGACATCGCCGCTGCCGCCGCTGCCACCACCGAGGCCACCGAGGCCACCACCGCTGCCAATGCCACCCTGGGGATGCTGGAGGAGGTGGCCGGTCACCTGAAGACCCTGGTGGACGCTGTCACCCAGGACCTGGAGATGGCCAAAGGCTTCCCTGCCAGCGCCCGGGTCCTGGGGGACGTCGTGGTGGCCTTGGGGACAGTGATGGGGGACAAGGAGGGGATGCAGAGGTTGGCCCGGGCACTGGAGGCTCTGCCAGAGGCTGAGTAGGGATGGGGGATGGGGACACCGGGAGGGCCCTCCTCATCCTGGGGACAACCCGATGTCCCCTGTCCCATCTAGGGACACCCGGAGGGTCCTCCTCATCCTGGGGGCAACCTGATGTCCCCTGTCTCATCTGGGGACACCCGGAGGGTCCTCCTCATCCTGGGGACACCAGGATGTCCCTTCTCCGTCCTGGGGACACTGGGATGTCCCCTGTCCCACCTGAGGACACCTGGATGTCCCTCCTCCTGGGGACACCAGGGACACCAGGATGTCCCCTGTCCCACCTGGGAACATCAAGGATGTCCCCTTTGTGGTCCAAGGACACCAGGGATGCATTGGTGACACTGTCCCCTGTCCCCCCAATAAACCTCAGGGACACGCCAAGCCCCCGACCTGTTACTGGGGCTTGGGGACATGGCAGGGACATGGGGACACCAGGGGAAGGGGACACCCCCACCCCATTCCAAGGACACCAGGAAGGGGGATGTCCCCAAGCCATCCCTGTCAAAGGGCTCAGGACTGTCCCCAATGTCCCCAAGGGCACCCGGCTGGATGTCCCCAAGCCATGGGGGACATGGTGAGGACGCATCAGGACCATCAGCAGGGCCATGTTGGGGACAGCATTGAGGACACTAGGGGCATCATTAGGGACATGCTGGGAGCCAGGATGGGGGACAAGCTGTTGCCACACTGGGGACATCACTGGGGCTGTGCTGGGGACTTCTCTGAGGCCGCCTTGGCCCCAGCATTGGGGACACTCCACGGACATCACCAGGGCCAGCGCTGGGGACACGCTGGGGCCACCAGTGAGAACACACTGGGGACACTGAGGCCACCATCGTGGCCAGCTCTGGTGGATACGTTGGGGACGTGCCGGAGCCAGCACTGGGGACATGTCGGGGACATGTCGGGGACATGGGGGGCATGTTGGAGGTTGTGGGTGGCCGTATTGGGG